AGGTTCATTGTCTAGTGAGGGCCTTGTCTCTCCTTCATAGGTACCTTGTTGCTGTGTCCACATGTGGCACAAGGGACAAGGCAGCTCCCCTCAATCTTATAAAGACACTAATTCCATTCCTGAGGGAAGAGGCCTTATGGCTAAATCACTTTCCAAAAGGCTCCACCTCTTAGTACTATCACATTGGGGATTAGGTTCCAACATATGAATTTTGGGGAGACACTAACATGCAGACCGTAGCTCTGTGTGTGTGTTTTTTTTCCCCCCTAAATCATCTGTCATTGTATTATTGATACCCTCTTGGAAAAAATTTAGTAAGTCACTTTAAAAAATATTATAGTAATAATGTTTTAACATTTATATTTATTGGTTAATTGCTAGTTTTATTGCATAGTGATTAAAAATAGGGCATATGATTAAGAAGGGGACAGAAAAATTTAAGCTGCAAAAAACAGCTTCATTGTAGTTTAAATCTTGAATCTGACTGAATCTTCATTCCAAAATGGGTATTTTACAATGGAAAAGATTAGATACCTTTAGCTGACATTGAAATTATTTTCCCAAACCTCCTTTGACCATTTGAATGGGGCTTGGAAACAAGGTAAGCTCAATTATGGGGATAGGGAGGACTACATTACTTTGTACATCTGAGTTGAAACATATACATTTTTATATCTGCCATATAAACAAGTAAGCAATTATAGATTATTGTGAGTGTTCTGAAGTAAAATATGGGGTTAGATATTTTCTGAAGAAAATATGGGGTTAGATAGGTAAATAAAAGCCGAGAAGAGATTTATTTGAAATAGGGTAATTATAGAAGGCATTTCTAGAAAGTTACATTACAGCTGAGATCTCAAGAATGACAAGGTACCAGAACTGTGAGAATGGGAAGAAAGAGCTCTCAAGTTCCAAGGCTGGAAAGATTCTGACCTGTTCTAGAAACGGATAGAAGGCCTATATGCTATCAGCATTGTAAGCCAAGTTGAGAGTCACACAAGATAAGGTTAGAAGGATGGATCATATAGATTCTTAGACTTTTTATTTTTTTCGAGTTGGAATCTCACTCTGTCTCCCAGACTGGAGTGCAGTGGCCGCTCCCAGCCACTGCAGCCTCGACCTGCTGGGCTCCGGCAACCCTTCCGCCTCGCCCGGCTAATTTTTGATTTATTGTAGAGATGAGGTCTCGCCAAGTTGCCCAGGCAGGTCTCGAACCCATGGGCTCAGGCAATCCATGGACTTTTTATTTAATGTTGATGGCATATGTATCATCAGTATAGGATAGGTTATGTTTGAGGAACAAATGACCTACAAATCTCAAAACAGGTTTATTTATCAGTCATGCCACCTTCTTAGTGGGGGCTGCGCAAAACTCAACTCCATGTCTTCCCTCGATGATCTATGCTGACACATCAGCCTGTCTGGAATGCTGCTGATAATTATGTTAGAGGAAAAAAAGAACATGAGTCTTCACACTTCTGCCTGAAGTGATACATGCCATTTCTGCCTACTTATTGAACAAAGCAAGTCACGCAGCCATGTCCAATTTCAGTAGGCTGAGGAAGTATAATCCTCTCCCAGGGAAGGGACATTTATTGTATGCTAGTACAATTACCATCTTGTAAACTTATGTTCTTCCATACATGTGGACTGAGAAGTAGAGAGAACTGCATCTTCTTTGTTCTTTGTTTAAAGATTCACTACAGTTATGAGAGAAAAGATGACTTTTAAAAGATTTACACCAAGTGCCAGTATTTGTTTGCATATGTTTTAAGAACTCAGATTCCCTCACTTCTCTAAATTATAGCAAAACATTTTCTCCGATCCTTCTGGGTCCTTAATTTGGGACAAAATTTATATCAATTTCAGAGTAGGATTTCGTATTTACTACCCAAGCATAAGGATCATTTATTCTTTTGGTAAAGATTCCTGAGCTGAAAAAGAACCATTTGTCTACAGGCTCAAATAGCAGAGTCTAATGCCAATAATTTATCAAGTGCTTTTTCATATGATGAAGCATAATTTCTTGCCATATTTTTCATGTTGCTATTTGTAAAAGAGTTCAGGTGTGTATTAGTATTTCCATCTTCCAAACCAAGAAATGGAAGCACTTTATTTCTTCCCCACATCTGGGCCAGAGTCTTGGCAAGAACAATTTAAACAAGTATTATCATCCCTTTTAGCCCTGAGAGACACCAGTAAAGTTAAGCAATATATAATGGCACTTTTGGTCAATGCAAGGCACAGGGGCAGAGGTGTTAAGGGAGAAACATAAGAGTGACAGGCAAAAAAAATGACAATTGGATGTAGATAAAAAACTGCATCTAGCAGGACTAGAATCACATCAAATTATCTTCACTGTCATTCAGAAGCAGTTGTGTAGAGGTTGCCCATTGCAGCATAAGATCGTCCTCCCTAAATTTTTTTGTCTCATCAAACTTTGCTTATTACTGGAAAAATACTCTTGTGGGACAACAGTTTGAAAAATCCTATACTCCTTAAACTATTAAGTCTCTGGCTTTGTTTGATAAAGGAAATGACTTCCTTTATTTTGTTCTAGAATAATGACCCCAGTGGCACTTCTTCTATAGGAAATAAAAGGAACTAATTTGGTGGAATGCATTATTTCCATTTTCAAAAGAACAATGAGTTTTTCCCACAGTGATTTTTAGTGGTGGTCCATAGCCAAGCTCTTTACAATTGTGTAATTTTGTCAAATTCGACCAATGATAGACTGAAGAAGATCATGGTTTTCATGATCACACAGCAGTGACTGGCTTGTAAAATGTGCTGAAAAAAAAATTCAGTCATAGATGATAGTTTCCGAACGACAGACCAATATCCACAGGACCACTGATTTTATCTCAATAACTTACACTTTGCAGCTCAGAAGTTAGTGCTAGGATAATTAATTATCTAATATTAAAAGAAATTATCTAGAATTCAGACATTGGGATCTCTACAAACAACTCTACAATTTACATTTTGAAAAATATGGCCAACACATTAACTAGTCTTAGTATGAGAAAAAACATTGGTAAGTTAAAGTTGACTTACAGGGGCAATTTTAGATATACACATTTGCAACCAAATATATAGTATGAAGTGAACATTTTGAGTTATTCATTGTTCGTGGCTAAAGAATAAATTTCACAAAACACAGATAATTCCATGTTATCCTCTCAAACAAATTTTATTTGTACTCTGCTCTAACAAATATAGTATGAAGGCAACAGTTGTTTAAGTTTTTTAGTGTATGGCACAGATGAAAAGAAACAAACAGATTTAGAAGCAGTCCAGCATTTAAATGCTGATTTAACAAAAGAGGCACGTATTATCCTATTTAGCAGTTTATACCAGATATCAGAAGACATTTTTTTTCCTTGCAAGCAACAGACTACATTTATTTGCATTAAGTAAAAACATATCTTGATCAAGAAAATTACTTTTTTTCTGATTTTCCTTTATATCACAAATGTCAGGGTAAGGCAAATCCTTAATGAATCATGTGATAAAAACCCTATTCCCCAAGAAAATATATTGAACATATTCTGCTAACTTTGTTATTTTTCAAAGCAAAACCGACATGCACCACATACAGAGAAATGTCTTTTCAAATCAAGGGTATCAGGCAGAACTGTATTAATTCACAAAGAGGCTTTTCAGTGTTTCATAGAAAGATTTACAATTAGCTGTGGTGATTAATATGTGACCCAGTATCACAGACAGTGATTCGGATGCCTTCTTTGTAAGCTTTTATAAAAGAAGACTTGTCCATCATCTGAATAGTTACCAGCCGGAGGAAAAGCCCCTTTGTCTCTCCTACAGTGAGGACCATTTTAATTAGAACTATTATGTTGAAGGCCTACTTCGATCCTCTGTATGCAAACATGACTAATATAGGGCTACTTTCCTCCCCCCTCCTGGAACCCTTCATGCCACATAGTTTGGTTGAAATCTGGTAGGAAATTGACTTCCAGAATACATATACAGCAGAATCAATCCACTTCTCAAATCTGTTCTATTGCACAGCCTATGCAACGACAATGCCAGTAAGTGCAGATTTTCTGTGTTGAGGTGTTTTCAATCTAGCCAATGGTTAGATTTTTAATGTCTCACTATTGAATTGGAAATTAACTTCATTATTTGTTTTAAAGCATACAATTGTATAAACAAATAGCAACCAAAAAGCATAATGAAGCAAAAAATGAAAATGCAATCTAACTACAGAATGAAGTTTAAACAAACTCAGGAGTGGTGCTGATGAGATTTACCCCTCATTCTCTTAATTTCCTGGATGCAAAGATGACTTTGCTTTTTCTACAGTTTTCAGACAGAAACTCCCTCCTCCCGTTCCTACCTCACTAGCATTTAAAATGAATGAATAAAATGGCTGTCATTGATGATAAAAAGGCCAGGGCTAGGACAAATCCAATCTTGACTGTTTCTAGCAAAGCATTAGGTCCCCTTCATTTTTGTCCACTAGAAAACCTCATCCTTCTCATCTCCGTTGTGTTGTTTTCAACTGTAACTCATTACTGAGGTTGAGTAACACTAGCATTTGGAAGTCACGAGAAAAGCTCCTGGCAGATTGCACATGTCAAGTACTTCACAAGAATGATGGAGACTTTCAACTGAGTTACAAAGATGGCATGGCATATAGAAGCTGCCAATATTTGGATGACATAATTTCTTGGATTCTTTAAAATGAGCCTCTTCCTTTCTTTTCTAGAAAGCAGTGACTAATGGCAGTAGAGGATATCTATGCTTTCATATCAAACTATGGAATAATGACAGGAGAAGAAGTGGCCATGTTCCAACATCATGAAGTCACTTAGATGTCATTGCTGCTATTTTGACGAGCAGCTTAAAAAAATAAGGGTGTTAAAAAATATTACATATGCAGAATTATAACTCATTATACCAAAATAAGCCATTGAGAAGGAGCAACAAAATTAGAAAGGCCAGAACAAAAGTCATAGAAAGATAAGAAGGTGAATTTTTCAAAGAAGACAAAACTGAAGAGTATGGTGGGATATTTAGAAAGCAGAACATCCTTTGATTTTAGAAATACTACTCAACTGGATCTACTATTTTTCTTCCTCTATTAAGAAAAACAATATAAGTAACTTGTAATTTAAGGCCCTTATGAGGAAGATATGTAATAAATGATACGTTTCCACCAAAAACAATGGAATGGCCATCACAAACAATGGAACATAGAGAGGCGGTGGGAAGCAGCTATTTCACCTTATGTTGACTCTGGGATAGACATTTGTGATGACACCTGATCTCTTCTGGGCCAGTTTCCCTTGTGCCCACTGTGTCACTGGTATCTTGGGTTGTTAGTACTGCTGCTTTCCTTCATGGCTGTACTCAATGGTTTTCTGTATGAGAGGACCAGCCATCAAGTCACCTTTGGACTTTGCATGAATGAATCACTCTTTAAACATTGACTAGAAAGCCAGAATTACAAGCAAAAGCTTTAATTGCCCCTAACTTCAAATGAGACTCTGCTGTGTAGGCCATCAAATTTTGGGTAAAGACAGAATGTTCTTTTACTAAAAACAAATAGATTTCAAGTGGAATTTTTGATATTGGGTCCCACATGTAGTGGTCCCTTCCCTTAGCTCTTAACTCCAATGCCTAGCAAAGGGCCAACCCTTACAATAAGGCAGCAAAGAGTTACCCTCACTGGTGGGCTCCACACTGAAGCACATGGTATAGACATCATAAACCAAGGAAGCTCTGCTGAAAGTCCATGTCCCAGAAGGACGCACCTGCCATCCTGGGCCAGGAAGGAAGAGACCCCATGGCCTTGCTATGCCTCTGCACTCTGCTCTAGATTAAATCCAGCTTCCACATTCCTCATTAGCCACATGGAACAAAGTGTACCTTGGGGATCCCTGAATAAAATATTTCCTACTCATTGTCCAGATCTTTTCCAAGTGGCTTTGAAGGCTTTTGCCCATTTTCAATTCTGCCTCCTTTGTCTGGGAATTGGGTTTGGTGATTCCTAAAATTTAGCTTGTAGCTTATCAAATAAACATCTTCCTTCTCTTTCCTTGAAGTAACCACTGTACAACCAACCAGCTTTGTGAAATAACCAAGAAAGCAGACAGGGGCCAGGATACATGTGCGAGTGTTCAAAGATCCACTGTGACCCCGGGGCTAAGTTGTGAGAAAAAGACAGAAATTACAAGGACAGTGCCTGAATGATGTGTGTTAACATGGGTCCTTCCATCAAACTAAAGGAAACTTTTTTCTTTTTTTTTTTTCTTTCTTTTTCTGCAGGTAAACAGAACAAAATGCAGCAGGAGAAATAAGAGAAAAGGATTCCCCGTCTTTTAATGGGACTTGCCTCCCCCACCCCCACCCTCCTCCACAGCTCGAGTTGCTAACTTCCAGAGCTCCCCCAGGGCCTGGAGAGGCCTTGCAATGCCGAGGACTGTCATTTAGTTCCATTTCTTTGTTCCTCCACTTCATCTTGTACCCCTGCTGAAGACAAAGAGAAACCATTTGTTAGATTAAAGATAAGGCATCTTCATAGGCTTAGCAAGAAATATCTTTTTAATTCAGCCATTTAAATGTCTTTCACCCCTCAAACAGGCCTAGGAATATCTTATTTGACTATCAAAGAGCTTTGGATATCTGAGCTGTAATTGCTGGCACATGGTATCTTTAAAGAGCATATAAATCACTGCTAATAAATGTAAGCCACATTGACAATGAGCTTCGGCTGATGGGGACGATTAACTCAATTCTTCAAAGTATTCTTTGAAAAACCTAACCTTGAATTGATGTGTCCTCCCTTTTCAGGCCCATTTGCACACTCCAGTTTCCAGGGATCCGTATATAAATAAGAATAACAATTACATAATGGTGCTTTACGTAAGTTGTTGATGATTCTGCCACAACTTGAGATCGTACTTATTAAATATCTGCCCATGAGAGAAATCTGAGAAGATACTGTACCCTAGAAGAAACTACACTCTTTATATTTTTAGACTTTTAAAATTGAAGTACAATCTACCTATACAGAAACACACAGATCTTAAGTACACAATCCAATCTGTTTTGAAAAATGCATACATTGAACACACACCACTATCAAGATATACAATGTTCCCATCACCCCAGAAAGTTTCCTTCCCTATTACCCCACTCTTGCTAGAACAAACACTTGATCTGATTTCTATCACCATAGACTAGTTTTTTCTGCCCTAGAACTCCCTACAAATGTAGTCACACAAGTATTTCTTTTGTGTCTTTCCTTTCATTCAGCATCATGTTTCAGAGATTCAGTGTTGCTACTTGTTAACAGCAGTCTGTTCCTTTTTATTGTAGACTAGCATTCCATCATGTGCATAGATCAGAATTTTTGGATCCATTCTTCTGCTAGGAGATAGTTGTATTGTGTCAAGTTTGGGGCTTCTGTGAATAAGACTGCTATGCATATTTTTGAAGAGAAATTTCGTGAGTAAAGGTTTTCATTTCTCTCAAACAAATATTTGGGAACAAAATTGTTGAGTCACAGGATAGATATATGCTTAATTGTATATGAAACCAATAATTTTTTTAAGTGGCTGTACCATTTTATATTCCCAGTCATGTATGAAAGTTCCCATTGCTCTACATCCTCTATAACATTTGGTGTTGCTAACTTTGTAAGTCAATACCAGCAGGAGTGTAAGGTATCTCGTCTTGATTCTGGATTTTACATCTGCAATCCCTAGTTTTCAGGTATCAACCATATACAAGACCCTACGCTGCCTTATCTCCTTATAGAACTCTATTGAACTTAACATGCCTTGATTATGCCCTTTCTATTCTTCGTCTCTTCACTTGTCTTTTATACTACTACATTTTTATTTGCTTTTCTCATTTTTGTCAATTTTTTGTAATGTTACTCTTTTCTTATTGTTTTATATCTGTTTTGATCTGTTTTGTCATTTAAATATAGTTATTTTCAAAATTGTCTTCTCTTGCAACATTTCGTAAGATTAGTTATTTTGTAATTTTAGCCACTGATTCTCACTCACAATAGATTATTTTCTTGTGTGCTTTGTAAGACTAAAAATTGTGAACTCAACTTCAGAAAAATGCTGTTTTCTACAGAAATTTCATGTGATAGTTCCACATTTTCATTTGTCACATATACCAGGAATAAGCACTGGTCTGTAATCAGTAATTAAATTAATTTTTCAGTTTTTATGGGTCACATAAATTTGTGTTTTAAACTCATGGTGCATTTGTAGTTTCAATTTTGGGAGCCTTTTTCTTTCCCCATACAGTGCCCTGTGCAGATTCAAGTCTTCTCTTTAATATCTTGAGCTGGAAGTCCCATATTTAATTAGGCAAAGGTATCAATTCAAATTTCTTACCTCAAGTGTTTCAAGGTTCCAATGGGCACTACCCAGGACCCTAGCCATAGGGCCTGTCTCTTTATCTATAACCTGAAACCCAAAACTTAATGGCTTATAATGTCGGTGATTTGTTCTTTTTCGTGATTCTATGATCTGGCCTGGACTCAGCTGGGTAGTTCAATTGCTAGAAGTGGTACCCACTAGGACCAGAACACCTGTAATTCCAACATCACATATTGCCATAGATATCTCCAACATTTGTGACTGTATTGAATGAAGACCAAATCAAAACAACACCATAATCAGGGCTAAACACAGATGACAAAAAAAAAAAAAGAACATTATTAAACCCCAAAAATGACCAAAGTCCTCCTGTCCTGGCTAATAAGTGTTATTTCTTTACCAGTCACAGATTTAGCCATGCCCTCTTCTCCCCTCATTCTAGATAAAATTAATTAATACTTGTATCAGACTGACTCCAAGATGACGCAAATTATCCCCACCTCCTAGTTGTCACGTTTATGTGACAACTTGCCTTCTATTAAATGCAGGCATCTGGCCTGCAAGCAGGTGTCCAAAATGCATTCTTTCGCCTATTCATCTCTCCTTCAGGAAACCCCAGACCCAGCAGGGGCAGGACCCCCACACGTAATGGCCTCTTAGTTTCTAGGACCTCACTTCACATGGCCTCCCTCATTTTATAGGATAGCCTATATTTCTTCCAAGGTATCTGGATTCCAGGATAAAGCATTATGATAGCACAAAAGTGGAAGTTATAAGGCCTCTTAAAACTCATTCTGGAAGCTACATTCAGTCTTCCATGTTTCCCCAGAACCAAAAGTTCAGATTCTGTCTTTACTGCCCTTCAACATTTCTTGCAAAATTTTTACATTTGTAAAGTGTCCCATTGATTCATATAACCATCTCTTATTGTTATCATTTATGGTATCCCAGAAATTTTATAATTATAAATTACACAACACCAAACATTTTTGTATTGTCTTTGAACCCTGTAATTCTAGTTCCATTTCACTGTATTCCGTTAATTTCCTCGATTGTACAATTCACAGAACAAAAGTTCCTTCTTCCTGTCAAACTCCCAAATAATCTCTACAAATCCTACGGTATGAATCTGTGGGAGTCAGTGAAGTTGCACAGGCCATACTGTCTCTGTGCAACCATGTTTAGAAACCCATTATTGTTCAGGGAGCAGTATGGTACATCAAATAATTTTGAATTGTGAGTATTTAAGCTTCCACTTATTAGCCAAGTGACCCTAGGCAAATCATTTCTACTTTCTGAAATTCTGAGTTTCCTTAAACTAATTTTGGACTTTAACTTATTCATTTGGGGTAATGTATAGGTTCATGTTTATTTTCAAGGAAAATGTGCCATTAATCAAGGAAAACAGACTTATCCTGGTACTTTATTTGGATATTGATCACACACACAAAATACCAAACAATTGGATCTATAAGAAAAAAATCTAGATAAGTCTATAGTTTGTTGACAACAAAAGGATAAAAGGTAAGGAAACTCTGGGGAGTTTGCATTTTAAATTGTTCAGGTTTAGTCTCACTTCATTACTTTTTAATGGAAACTTCTTAGCCATATAATTTCTGCAGTTTAGCAGGATGTTTTAAATACATGAATAAGGTAAAAAGAAGAAGAAGAAGAAGAAGAAATGTTTATAAGGTCATGTTTGTATGAGTTTATATTTTTTTAGCTGTCTAATGTAATACGTGGATTACACAAATGCCATTATATTTATTTATTTATTTGAGACAGGATCTCACTCTCACCCGGGCTGGAGTGCAGTGGTATGATCCTGGCTCACTGCAGCCTCAACCTCCTGGGCTCAGGTGATTCTGTCTCAGCCTCCCATGTAGTTGGGACTATAGGCATATAGCACGACACCCAGCTGATATTTAAATTTTTTGTAGAGATGAGGTCTTGTTATGTTTCCCAGACTGGTATTGGACTCCTGGGCTTAAGAGATTCTTCTGCTTTGGCCTCCCAAAGTGCTGGGATTACATGTGTGAGTCACCGTGCCTGAGCTATATGTAGTTTTAAATGATGTTCAATACCATGATGCAAAGAACAGATATGTTATTTCACACATTCACAAACTTTATTCTGCCATGATGTTGGAGCTTAAGCACCTGGTGAAACATGGTCTCCCAGGAGAGTGTAGAGCACTCTTGAGAACATGCAGGAAGTGTAGGGAGAGGCTGTGAGGCAACAGTGTCAACACATCATTTGTACCTTACACTCGAGGATCCATGATTTATTAATGCCATCGTATTTTTTTTATAATGAAATATTTTAAGCTAGAAGTCAGAACAGTTCTAAGAACGAGCCTGACTTCTTCCTTCTAATTCTAATTCACCAGCCCTCAGAATATGGAAAAGGATTACAGACCACTCATCATTCTAGACATACTTTAGTTTTTTCTGAGAGGTTTAGAATGTTGGTCTGGAAAAACTCCTACACATGGTCTGGTCCAGGTTTTTTATTTTCCTGTTAGTACCCTGAGGCTCACTCAGCTTTAACAAACCTTTGTGCAGGTGCACAGGCCCACAGGTAGTGGTGTGAGAGAATAGGACAGGCTTGTTTCTGTCCAAACATACTCATATGCCTTTATACACACTCCAGGGCAAAGATTTAATGTTATGCTTAAAGACAGATATACTAAACAACTCAGCAGGTAGCTTCTAGAAAAGCAACGCTTCAGAATCAGCTTGGGGTTGCTGAATAATAATTTTATTACTCCAGGAGACCAGGGGGTGAGATGGCTGGAAAGGTTTTTTTTTCTTGTCAAAGCACAGAAAACCAGGGTAATGTGTGATTTGAATATGCTGGGCTTTGCTCAGCTTTTTCTCTTAAAGATGGCAAGATTCTATGGGTAATTTTTCCTCCTTACACCATGCTATTTTGTTTAAAGATTGTAAAAGTTTAGCCCAAGCTATGCTGTGGGACTTGGCAAAACCCGGGGAAATCCAACATGTCATTTGCAAGCAGTTCCGATGGCTGCTTCATCAATAGAAAATGTCACCACAGGGTCATCTTACCTATGAATTGATCTTGTTGACTCTCTGTTGGGTCATTTACACTGTCCACCTGAGTATTCATTTCAACTGTAGCCAGAAAAGAAAACCAAATTAAACCAAAATATCTTAAACATATTAAAAATGGCCTGTGATTTGACACTCTTCTGATTTCCTATCTATGCCTCTCTTCAGTTTATTTTCATTCATTCATTCAAAATGTTGGGACTATTCTTGTAGATTTTTGCTGGTGGGGCTGGAGGAGGGCAGAACTGCATCTTCTCTGAACTATAGAAGCTGAACTGTAATTTCAGATCTGGGGATTGGCTGTTTGGGTGTACAAGTATTTATCACCATCCTTGGATAAACTCAAAGGCCTTAATAGATACCTCATAAAATAAAGAGAGAAGACAAAATAAGACAGATCATGGACATGCAGAGAGGTAAGATGCTCCCTCCAAAATGCTAGTGTCAATAGACCTGTTTGGTTTGCCTGTGTTCAATGTTAGAATTCAAAACGGACCTTGTGAACTTGCCAATGAGTGCAGCGGCAGTGGGTGACCATGAAATGGAAAAGGAGAACATCTAACCAGATCCCATAGTCATGATGAAACCATGATGAAATGTGTGCTTTCACTCGACTCTGTGTAGTCTATGTGAACATTTTCATGAAAATAGAATTCATCATTATTGCAATTCTCCAGAAGTAGCTCAGAGCAGGCATAGCATTCACTGTGAAAATTTCCAAGGGTCAGCAGTTCTAACTGGATTGATATTTTTAAAGCATCAAAACCTACATTATAAGCTGAGAGACTGAATATATAAATGGGCAATGCCAGATCATATATAACAAGAGAACTCTAACTTAACACCTCTGTAGCAACCAGCCTGGCCAACCAAAAAACAATCTCTGCTCCATTCAGCTCAGAATGGTCAGGACTTGGTCAGTGACTGTTCATTTCCCTATTTTTTGCCCCTGCTTCCAACTTGCAACCAACCAGGGAAAGCCGTATATGCTGCCCAAACCCATCACTGAAGGTGCCCTACTTCTGGTCAGTCACTTCTAGCTTCTCTGCGCCAACAACCTCAATCAGATGATGCTTGAAGTCTTGCCTTTTGTTAATTTTAAAGGTTTCCCGCTGCCCTGACTGCCTTTGAATCTACCAAACACATGTGATAATGACCACCCTTATTCTAGTAATCTCTGAATGAGTATTCTCTGTTTTTGTTTTTTTCCTTATTTGGGTGGTTTTTATTTATTTGTACAAAGCCAACAACTTAAATTGGTTTTTTTCAAACATGAAAGCTTGATGAATCCAATATAGTGGCAGATGCTGCTTTTCACACTCCAGAGAGGCTTGAAAGAGGGAATGACATTTTACAGCGTCCATTCAACTCTCTCCCAATTAGGAAGGTTTTAAAAGCAGGTCTCCTTGTTCTCACCTGCAAACTATCTTGAGTTTCTAATGACGTGTGAACTCATTTTAAACCCCATATATAAACAGGCCAGATACAGTACCTCTATCTACATAAGTATAAGCATCTGTGCACTGTCCATCCTGGTCCTCAAAATTATTGTAAGTTTACCCCTCTCAGTGTGGGAGTATGCAGGATAAAATACAGAAGAGCATTTTTTATTTGTTTCTTCTTTCAACCAAAGAATCTTAGTCCTAAAGCCTATTCATAAATGTTACTATGAAAAAAATTCCATGATTAAATAAGTTTGAGAAAAGCAACGGTAAACCATGTTAAACAGATTTCTTTACCACTGAGGCTTCTTAGAGTCTGTAATACTTTACTGTGTGAGGTGAATCTCCAAGTGGGGACTAAAACTCAGTATTTCCCACATTTATTTCCTTTTTTATTCAAGGAACAGTGTATGGGTCTGATATTCCTCAGAAGATGTTTTGTAAAGAAATGGCTAAGAACTATGTCTACAATGTCTCAACTGGGCCAGGGTAGGCTTCATTCAACTGATCAAGACTAACACGTGACAGCCGTTAATGGATAAGTCCTGGGTTTAAAAACATCATTGTTCTAGGTAATGCATGCCTGTAAGTCAAATGTCAATTTGTGTAGTCTAAGCAGAAGGGGGCTTATAATTAAGGAGACAATTTAGGCAATGGTGAGTCTACCAGAGGAAGAAATATCTGGTATAGAAAACTCTACTTAAAACTCCCAAATAACATCCACCACTGGCTAAGTTTTTCCCAAGGTAATTTGGCTTTTTTTCCTTTGGCTAAAATAACCCAAACAGTCAAATATTTAAATAGTTGATCACTGGATCAATTCTGGTCCTCCTAAGCTCTATGGGTCAATGGAATTAAATACTTATTAAATCAAATAGTTGATTTTCTAATGCAAGTAATGGTATTTCAAAGGGCTCTCAGCATTGTTGAGCAGGGGAAAGAGGATATTAATATTTCTGAGTCAGAATCTTTGATGCCTTCAAAATTAGATGTGCATTTTAAAGGGTCTTTGTAAATTTATTTTTAAGGTGCTTTTAAAGACTAAGTTTTTGGCCAACGTGTCTGATGTGACATGAAGTAAAGTAATAAAGATGTGAGAACAATCTCAGTCCAAACTCCAGTTAGGGCTGTCCTAACTATTGAGTGGAGCAGCGATAAGAGTAGATTAAGTGCTTCTTGCAGAAATAAGTGATGTTTCCATGAAGTTCACCAGGTAGACTTCAGTTCAATTTAGCCTTGGAATTATATACTGTGGCTTCAGAATTGCAATGTATGATTAAACTAAGGCATAATGTTATTTTAAAACAGCTAGAGACAGTTAAAAGAGAGGCAGTCATTTTTATTAGTTTCTAGTAGAAAATGTTTTTTTTTTTTTTTAAATTGCCTGGTTCTAACAAAATATGTTGATTCATAGAACAGGTAGCTCTCTTAATCCTAGATTACACTTAGAAAATATGTAGTTTGCATGAACTCAAGCAGCTCAGAATCTTACCATCAGGACCTGTAGTAATTTCTATGTCACTGGAGTCTTCGCTTTTCCCAGACACTCTAGGTGTGTCCTCATCTGGAGCTAAAACAGAGAAAGGCCACAGTCCCCAATCAATAGAGAACTATGCCAGCCTGAGGGCCAATTGTTCTGTCACCCTCCATTGCCCTCTTAAATTTGAAAATACTCCTGGGACTAAACTTTTGCAGAAAAGGGTAAAGAAGGAAGCAGTTGAGTCACTTGAATACTTGAGTGCTGTCTTCTAAATTCTCTTTAATGTATGAGAAAATCACATACATGTATAAATAATTTCTCAAATTAGAATCTGGTAGCACGAAAATTTGGTTTCATCAGAACACTTTACAATTTAAATTTAGGAAAGTGTGTGTGGGGAGGGTGAGAGAAGAGTTTATGTAGTTTGACCTTTCAAGAGAAAAAAGAGAGAGAACTTATTTTGCCTTTGGCATGCCTGAAAGCTGGAGGATTCATTCTCCTGGTAGTGCAGTTTTTTGTTTGTTTGAATACAAATGAATGACTCAGTTGCTTCCTTAGGAGACCTCCCATTTTGGACTCCTGAGAATCTAGGTCTTTAGTTGACTTCCCTCATGAACTGTTTTCTATTTACACAGCTTTAGAAGGTGTGTCATCTATTTGCTATGGTTGAAGTTGTATAAGTTGCTTAAATGTAGTAGGAAGGGAATTGTGTTTCATATTGTGAAAAATTTCCCAGATAGTCGAAAGGATAATAATTTCTTACCTCTTAGTTAAATATCTATTGTTTTTACAACTTAAAGAGCAAGGACACTTGTAAATACAAATACAGATATAGATAAAGTGCCAGAAAATCCATAATTTTAGGGGTTCTGCCAAGATGGCAACAGAGTCAGTCAGAATGTGTGAGCTACCACATAAATGAGTGGGTACAAGGACGAATATGCTTGCAAGTTTGTCAGCAAGTGGGTATGCCAGTGTCTGACTCAGTGGGGATGCAAGAACAAGTGACCTGAGCTCTCCTGCTAAGGCAGCTGTCCCGCAGGCAGCTGAGATCCCAGCATAATCCATAGCCCAGAGGCAGGGACCATTTCAGTCACCAAACCTGGAAGAAAGCAGTGAAAAACACCTGCGGTTGGCACTGCCTGCCACCACAGCCTTCAGTGCCAGATCAGACATTAGCAGCAGGAACTGTGGTGAAAATACACCAAGGAAACTAGCTACCGAGTCCCAGTAGAGGAAGGGATATGAAAGGAGATCCCTACAACATTTGTCCTGGCACCCCAGCCAGAGATAGGCTCTGGCCTGCCCATGTGAACAGTGAAGCTACTACCTGAGACCGAGGGGCAAATCCAGCACTCTCTGAGGTTGATCACTGCCAATCCAAAGAGGATACCCTGGGTGCACTATCCCCAGAAGGACAGGCACACCAAGGAGAGCCAGGTTCTCCATCTCCATCTAGCTGAAACTTTTGCAGGTCTAAGACTGCAATTGGAGATGAAGAACCCAGCAGAGGATGAGTGGTGGTGTCTTAAAGTGACACCACTCCTTTTTTGTTTTGTATTGGAATCTCACTCTGCCACCCAGGCTGGAGTGCAGTGGCACCCTCATGGCCACTGCAACCTCAGCCCCCTGGGTTCAAGCAATCCTTCTGCCTCAGCTTCCCAAGTAACTGAAACTGCAGGCACATACCGCCACACCTGGCTGATGTTTTATTTGTTGTAGATACAAGTCTCGCCAGGTTACCCAGGCTGGTCCTGGGCCCCTGGACTCAGGCAGTCCTCTCACCTCCACCTCCTGGGGTGCTGAGATACGGGCATGAGCCACCACCCCAGCAATTCACCAGACAAATGAGCCAGGGGGGTGCGTCCTGATCAGCACACATTAGAGCTGAACACAGGCAGATCAGTTGGAGGTGACTCATATCCTCCCCGTTCATTGCACAGTAAACAGGAGGTAAGAGCTATAGGTCAGAACTTCCTCCCCTCTGCCATGACCCAAGAGCAGAGGTGCTTGGGTCACACCTACAAGAAATGCAAAGCTTCAGAAACTGCCACAAGAGGGAGCTCAAGGATTACATTACTGCTTCTTTGTTTTTGTTTTACTCCTTTATTCACACAAGGGCATACATGAGTGTGAAAATCTCATATTGTCGGTTTTCATTTTTGTTGTTTTTTTCCTCCTTTTTTTTTTTTTTTGCTTTTTCACTGGTTTGTTTATCTGTTTGGTTGGCTTTGTTTGTTTCTTCTTTGCTCTCTTCATTGTCCTTTCTTCTCCCCTTTTATTTTGTACTCAGGGAAGATACATATGTTCCCATTTTGTGAACATACTGTAAGATGGTGGCAAGTGGGTCCTTGGAGCCCCACACCCCAGTCAGTGAACATTGTGATCTGAAGGAAGTTTTCAAATCCTAGCACTCCCCAGCACACTTTACTCAAATCTCAAAGCTGCAAAAGGACAGCACAACTCCTAACTCCCAACCAGGCTTCAAAATTGAAAAAGTCTGGAGGTTTTGCTAAAGGAAGAATAGGGGCTTGTGTAAAGAGAAGTGAAAACTACTCCCTCTCTCACTGAACAGCGGAAGTAAAGAGAAAAAAAAATCTATGATAAATGAGAAAAATCACAGGCCCCACAAAGTCCATAAAGGATAGTACATGAGAATACGGACTTGGAACTCAAACAATAAAGAGTGTCCAGATTGACTGCCACAAATGCAGATATCAAGAAAAGGTTAGAAAAGATGAATAAGAATCAAGAAAGGCAAGAAGAAGGCATGAAATAACCAATTATGAGATGCAAGCTATAGAGAATACAGTAAATGAAATAAATAATAAACTGTCGAGCATGGAAAGCAGAATTAACCAGGCAGAAGAATGAATCTCAGAGCTTGAAGCCTGAAATATGGAACTAACCCAAACTGTTAAAAGCATAGAAAGGAAGCTTAAAAAAAAAGCCTTCAAGAGATGTGTGATTATATTAGGAAACAGAACTTACAACTGATCAGTATCCCTGAAGTAGAAAAGAATAAGACCAGCCTGGAACCAACAATCCATGTGGTCATCCAAGAAAACTTTCTGCATCTCATCAGAGATATGACCACCCCAACACAAGAGATTCAGACAGCCCCTGCAAGGCACCAAATGAGAAGACCAACTCCTAGACTCATAGTAGTTTGCTTACACAAAGTAGGTATAAAAGAAAAAATCCTAAAGGCAACAGGAGTGAAAGGTCAGACTATCTACCAGGGAAGACCAATTAGAATAGCAGCAGATTTATTTACAAAAACACTACAGGCTAGAAGAGACTGGATTCCAAACTTCAAAGTTCTCAGAGATGAACAATTCCAGCCAAGAATTTCCTATTTAGGTAAGCTAAGCCTTATCAACAATGGAGAATTAAAATCCTTCCCAGATATTCAATCCCTAAGAGTCTATGCTGCCTCCAGACCAGCTCTACAAGAAACACTTAAGAAGATATTAAGGACAAAAGAAAGAAAAAAAAAGAATGACAATGCTTTTTTCAAGAATGCAGGAAAACAGAGAATCAACACAGCGTGCATCATGACTGCAAAACTGAAAAACACACACACATATATCAACTCAAAAATCAAAAGAAAACAACAAACAAATAAATACACAAACAACAACAACAACTCTATGAGAGCCTCATGACAGGGATAAAATCTCACATCTTAATAGTCAGCCTAAACGTGAATGGACTGAATGTACCACGAAAAGACACAGAATGGAAAATTGGATTTAAATAATCACACCTTATTATCTCCCTGACCAGAAAGGTGAAAGACCTTTACAATGAAAACTACAAAACACTGTTCAAAGAAATCCAAGAAGACACTAACAAATGGAAAAATGTTCCATACTCAGGGATTGGGAGAATCAACATTGTTAAGACGTCCATCCTGCCAGGCATGGGGGCTCATGCCTATAATCCTAGCACTGTGGGAGGCCCAGGCAAGAGGATTTCCTGAGCCCATTGGTTCTAGGCCAGCCTGGGCAACTTGGCGAAACTTCATCTCTACAATAAATAAAAAAATTAGCTGGGCATGGTGGCATGAGCCTGTAGTTCCAGCTACTTAGAAGGCTGAAGCAGAAGGATTGCCTGAGCCCAGCAGTTCGAGGCTGCGGAGGCCACAAGCATGCCACTGCACTCCAACCTGGGCGACAGAGTGAAACTCTGACTTCAAAAAAAGAAAAAAAATTTGTCCATCCTACCAAAGGCAATCTACAAATTCAATGCAATACCTATTAATTACCACCATCATTCTTCTCAGACCTGGAAATGATGATACAGAAATTCATATGGAAACATAAATGAACATGAAGAGCCAAAACAATCTTTAGCAAAAGAAACAAAGTGGGAGGACTCACACTTCCAGACTTTAAACTTTACTATAAGGTTACAATAATCAAAACAACCTGGTACTGGTACAAGACCAGGCATACAGACCAATGGAACAGGACAGAAATCCCAGAGGTAAAACCTCAATTGTTCAACTATCCCCTCTTTGATCAGGACCTTACCAACAACCACTGGGGAGAGAAGAATCTATTCAGTGCATGGTGCTGGGAAAACTGGCTGACCACATGCAGAAGATTGAAACAGAACCCTTACCTATCACCAGAGAAAAAAATCAACTCTAAATGTATTAGAGACCTAAATGTAAGACCTCAAACTATAAAAAATCTTTAAAAACGCAGGAAACACCCTTATGGAAATTGGAATAGGCAACTAATTCCTGATCAAAATCACAAATGCCCATGCCATAAAAGATAAGACAGACCAAGTGGAACCTCATCAAACTGAAAAGCTTCTGCAAAGCATAGAAAACCATCAAAAGAGCGGGGAGTCAGCCTACAGAATGGAAAATAAATATTTACCAACTGAATATCTGACAAAAGGCTAACATCCAGCTGTTAGGCCCAGGGAGAAGCAGCACTCACCTTCCCTCATCTGCCCTTCCACCCACCGATCCCCTATGCGCCCCTCCACCCTAAACCCACAAACCACATACCAGCTTACTGAAACCTGCTGGCAGCTGCTGAGAAGGGCCAACCAGAAACTTTCCAGCCCAT